AAAAAAAAAAAAAAAAAAACCTGCCTCAGCTACGGCTCCTGGAAGGGGCCAACCCCGGCCGTTCTCGAGTCTCTCCCGGCCCGCTGTGGGCCGCTCCGGCCGGTGCTTTACCCCGGCGCCACCGTGCGCTCGGCCAACGGCCTCCGAGAGCGCCCACCCGAGCGCTCCGGGAGCCGGCGGGCGGCGGCCCTCGCCGGGGACCCTCCAGCGGGCCCAGGGGTGAGTGCTGATGCCTTCCCTCTTTGGGGCTCGGGGTTTAGGGCGGCCGCAGGGCCTAGCATCGCGGCCGAGACCCTCTGGCCGACAAAGGGACTCGCGGTGGGCCCGAGCGGTCCGTGGTGCCGCCCTGACGAGTCCGGTACCCGAGCTCTCCTTTTCCTCACCTCTGGGCCTGGCCGCCCTTAGCCTTCGGACGCTAGCGGGAGAGAAGCACGCTCCCTGAACGAACCTCTTCTCCCCTTTTAATTCGGTGCCGTATTTTGAGAGAAATTCGGGCTTTTCCCACTGGAGAATAGTTCGGGGTTTAGAAACAGCAGGAGACTCCCGTGAACCTGAAAGCCGGGCTTCGCTGTTGGTCTTCCCTCATTCCTCCCACCCAAGGATGACCTTGAACCAGATGCCTGCCGTCTTCCGAGAAAATAGGTTTTTGTCTTTGTTTCCCTTGTTTTACTTTGTGGAAAATACGTGTTCGAGCCGGGAGGCCTTGTTGGAAGCCCGGGGGCGGCCTCTGCGGTGCCTTGGGCCCCCAGGCCGTCCTTTGCGATCCTCGGAGCCTCGTCGCCCGCAGGTAGTGTTGCGGGGAGTCGCTCCGCGGGTGCCCTTGCAGAACCCAGGTGCTGGAGCGAAGCCCGTGTCCGGTTCCGCCGAGCCTTGACCCTCACCTGCATGTCAAAGGAAACTCCTGGCTCCGTCCCACGACGTTAGAGCGAGGGGCCTTTGGAAAGAATGTCACCTTTCAGAGTGGTGACATCTAATTATTGCAGAGGATAAAAAAATAGCTTTCAGGCCTCTGCGCCCGAATTCAGATCCAGTTGCATCCAGGCCTCTCACCCACGGAGAGACTAATTGAATGAGTGTTTCCCTCTCCATGAATGAGAAACATTTATTATGTCAACTCGGTTGGCTAATGAGATTCCAAAGGAAAATCCCTTAGGACAAACGGATTTGGCAAAAGTGTCATTTAGGAGTAAGACGTAGTCTTTTCCCACGTAATTAAATTGTGTGGGAGGACCTGCCACCTTTTTGGTTTCCAAGGCTTCCCAGTTGGTTTTGCTTTTCTTTCCAAAAGGGAATTGTGTGGTCTGTCTGTCCCTTCCGGTCCGACAGGGCAGTCTCTTTTAGGATAACAATATAGGAGCTCTGGTAGCATAGTGGCTAAGGCACTTGACTGCTAACCAGAAGGTTGGCAGTTTAAACCTACCAGCCACTCCTCGGAAGGAAGATGGGGCAATCCACTTCCGTAGTGATACTGCCTCGGAAACCCAAGGAGGGGTCACTATGAGTCGGGGCGACTCGATGGCACATAACAACAACATAGCAATTGCTCTCCTGCCTCCTGGTGTTGTAACTCGTCTTCTGTGGGATCACTTTTACTTTAAACTTTGTTTTAAAACGTGTTGTTAATTTATATTTTTCAAAGTTTGCAATGACTTTTCTTAAATACTAAAATTAATCCAGGATCACTATACCATTCTTTTGAGTATGGTTTCTTGGAAAGAGAGCAGAAACTGGATGACCTATATAAAAACGTTGAATTAGGTCCACAGAGTAAATATTAAAGAACTAGAGAGATTTTTGTGATTAGAGAATTATGTATAGATAATGTTTGCACCCACAGTCAATTTGATCTAGTTGTTCCTTTACTTTGCTGGGCTGTCTCTCTGGCCTCCACTGCTCTAATAAGAAGGATGATAAAGTTGGGCTTGCATCTTTGTATCCCTAAATTAGTACATTTTCCGCTAGTGGTATACGAGTTAACTTTGGGTGTACAGATGAGAGTTTTTGGTTTTTAGTTGTTCTGATTTTGTTACATGTATTTATAAATGTACATCAGCTCCATGATTTAAGATGCTCCAAAAAAAACCAAACTCACTGCCATCAAGTCAATTCTGACTCATAGTGACCCCCACTGGGTTTCCAAGGGTGTAAATCTTTATGGAAGCAGACTGCCTCATCTTTCTTCTGCAGAGTGGCTGGTGGATTTGAGCCACCAACCTTTTGGTTAGCAGCCAAATGCCTTACCCACTATACCGCCAGAGTTTTATTTACGGTAGAGATGGAAAATGTGTTTTTAATATACATTTATTTAACATTCGTAAAACTTGATTCACACGGAAATGGATCAGAATAGGAGATCTTGGATAGAGGGGGAGAAAAATGTTAAACAAAATTCAAAATCACAAAAAGACCAGACTTACTGGTCTGAGAGAGCCTGGTGAAACCCCAAGCCCATGGCCCCTAGTTGCCTTTCCAGCCTGGAATTGAACTCATTCTGGTGACTTAACTTTCAGCCAAATAATAGACAGGCCTACGGAGTAGACTCGCCTGCCTTCCTTAGGAGCTCTGGTAGCATAGTGCCTAAGGCACTTGACTGCTAACCAGAAGGCTGGCGGTTCAAACCCACCAGCCACTCCTCGGAAGGAAGGTTGGGCAATCCTACTTCCGTAGTGATACTGCCTCGGAAACCCAAGGAGGGGTCGCTATGAGTCGGGGCCGACTCTACGGCAAACAACAACAACAGGGTGGACAGTTAGACCAGGGAGGTGCGCTCCTTAGAACGGTCTACCATGGGAGATGAGAAGGGCAGCATTTGCAAAGAGAGAAAGCTCCAAATGCATAGGAAAGAAAAACACAGGCAACGAGGTAACCACAAGGGAGAAGTGGGAGGAGAGCTGGTAGGTGGTGGGGATTGTAATCAGTGTCACAAAACAAAATATATGTGAACTGTTGAATGGAAAACAAATTTTCTCTGGAAACTTCCATCCAAGTCATAATACAGTTTAAAAAAAAAAAAAAAAACTTAAGTTACAGGAAAGATTAAGCGTGTCTTAGAAGTGGCGGTTGAATATGGAAAAACCTGAAATTGGTGAGTAAGTTACTGCTGTTCAGGAGACACTGGACTTAGTAAAGATTTGAAATCGTCTAGGATTCTACATGGGAGCTTGTCTCTTGTTAATGATGTAACTGAGTTGTGTCCTGGCTGCCCAGATTCTAAGTGACAAAACTTGTAGAATAAATGGCTTCACCACAAATGAGAAGTTTTGTTTATTTCTTGCCGAAAGATTACCCAAAATGGCATAGTCTAATGTTGTTGTTGTTGTTGTTGTTGTTGTTGTTATGTGCCATCGAGTCAGACCCAACTCATAGCAACCCCTCCTTGGGTTTCCGAGGCAGTATCACTACGGAAGTAGATTGCCCCATCTTCCTTCCGAGGAGTGGCTGGTGGATTTGAACCGCCAGCCTTCTGGTTAGCAGTCAAGTGCCTTAGGCACTATGCTACCAGAGCTCCCATAGTCTAATAAAGGAGAAAAAATATATGCGCCATTGATCAGTTTTACTTAAGCATTGAAAACTGATCATTGGGGCAGAACAGTGATAACTTTTAATAGAAAAGTTTCATTTGCTTTTGCAAATAGCTCAGATTTACCACAGGAATTAGGCTTTTTCCACTTGTCTTTTTTCTTTCCACCTTTGTATTCTAAGTCGGTGATGCTTTACAAACTCAGAGATGCTCATAAGAAGAGAGTGCTATAGAGTGAAATGTTGAGACCCATGAGATGTTCTAACAGCTGTGTCCCTTGTTCATTATAATAAAACTTCACTTTCTAATGTCGCAAGGCTAAAGTCCTGTTGGTCTCCCTGTAATGTCATTTCTGAATATAATCTTCTCTTGTGCTTCAGAGAAATATAAATAGAGGAAGAATGTCTCATCTAGAAGGATGTACAAAAGATGGGTGACAGAGGTTGCCCGTGCACAGGGGTTTGGGTGGCTCTAGGATAGGAGTGGGTGGGACACTTCGTTTTCTCTGTATTTTCTTTGTGCTCTGTGCTATATGCATGTATTACTGTCCCAAATTACATACATTTTAATTGAATGAACATTTGGCAGATTCTGTATTTATTCTTTATAAATATGTGAGTATATATTTACATGTAAATATATGTATATATACATTTATATATACACATAAATATTATCTTTATTTAAATTTATCTATTTTTTATTTGCTACATTTTCCTAAAGGCAATTCGGAAATGGTGACAGTCTTTTTAATCTCATTTTACCTAAATAAACTTTGCACCTGCAGTCAGACATTGTTTAGTTTGATGGCTGTGGGTTGGTTTTTTGGTTTTACCTAGTGAAAGTTGTAGGACACTGTCCTGGGACTAAAATTGGTGGTAAACCCATGTATTTTTTTGTTTGTTTGTTTTCTTTGTTATTGGTTTCTTAATGTAAGATGCACCTCTTTCCTGTTACCATTTGGAAACTTTCCAGCAGTGAATCCCTAGCATGGGACCCATAAAAATGGTAGCGTCTAGTTTCTCAGTTGGGAGCTCTGGTGGCATAGTGCCTAAGGCTTGACTGCTAACCAAAAGGCTAGCGGTTCAAACCCACCAGCCACACCTCAGAAGGAAGGTTAGGCAATCTACTTCTATAGTGATACTGCCTTGGAAACCCAAGGGGGGGTCGCTATGAGTTGGATCGGAAGTAATGGCAGTGAGTTTGGTTTTTGGTTTAGTTTTTCAATCAGCCCATTTTTCTTCCCCAGGGACGAAAGTGGCTCCAAATCCAGCAGCGGCCCGTTGAAGCAAGTTCGAGGATTGAATATGAAGCACAGGAGCAGATAGTGCCAAGTAGCAAGCAGTAGTTGTTACACATTTGTGAGTAAAAGTTGTGTTCTCTGCCGACTCTCTGTCAGTCTTTAAATCATCTGCATGCCAGATCCTTAAAATTCAAACATTTTGGTAAATTGAAAATTCATAAAATTTTGATAAAGCATAAAAGAAGGAAGCCAGCAGTCGTAATCAACCAGTTATCAAGGCTTAGCAGCTTAAGCAACCTCTGAGAATCTTCCTAAGCATCTCGGTGAAGTGGAGGTTAAGATGTATAACACATCTGTGACAAGGAGTTTAAGAAACGTCCCAGCCATGACTTTTATTTATTACTGTCTGTAAAAGAGTTATATTGCCATTGATTTAGAAATAAAATATTTAGCTGAAAATTTACTGTGATTTGGTTTTCAAAGTTGTTTCCTTTTTAAGGAATCATTACTTCTAAATAAAAAATATTGACGGCTTCAAATGCATTTACTTTCACCCTTTGAATTCTCTTCATGATCTGTTTATTTGTACTTAGTCTAAAAAAAGAAAAATTTTATTGTCTTTTTTTCCCTTTTCAGAATATAATGATTAGAGGGCAAAGTGATGTTGTTTTCTAGTATGACTTCACATTGTATGTCCGTTTGACGTAGCTTTTCTTGATCCTGTTTGCAAAGTCATGTAACATCTCTATAACCTTTGAGGTATAGACCAGCTCTGTTAGGAAAGATGTGAAGCCCCATCACATCAAGCCCCATGCCATGTACAGTCCAAAAATACTTTTACATAGATGTTTATTTTATTCATCGTTTTCTTATTAAATGAATTGTTGAAATACTGATTTTTATTCTTTCTTTTTTACAGCTGGAAAAGCAGTGTCCGTGTTGTTTTGTACACCTCCAAAAACAGTTCAGATCTGTAGGGGAATTGTTGTGTAAAGTAAACTGAACCACAGGGTAGCAGTATTTTAATAGCTATTGTAGACGTGTATTCACTGTATTAAAATGAGTAAGAGAACAAGCAGTGACACCCCACTAGGAAGGTCAGTGCACTTGTGCTCAGTTGAGCTGGTATCACAGGGCTGGAGACAGTGGCTGTAAAGTGGATTGCCAGAGGCTGGCCGGGCTCCTTTACACATGGGTCAGCATTGTGTATTTGGGGGCTACATTCTTCCCACTGCCTTTCCCTGGGAGCATGGATCCTTCTCTGACTGAGAAGGTTACGCACTGCATCTGCACTGTCCTCCCCCTTCCAAAGGCATGTCATGCTGCTGCTGCTGCTTTTTTTTTTATTATTATATTTACATGTAAATATAATATTAAATATAAGTTAATGATTGTAAAGTTTCAACTCCTCAAAAGATAAACATACATGTTAAGGATTTATTAATACAAATTCTGTGTCTAGTATCGTCTCTTAGTCATCACATACATACTCAGTAAGAGAAATTGGAATTTGTATTTCGTGATTTTTCAAGGGCTTGCATCTACCTTTTTAGTAAATTTAGAATCAACCTTATTTACCTTATGAATCTGATTTTCATCATTAAAAGATTTTCTTTCTTTCATGCATGAGGGAAGATTTTCATTTCATTTTTGTAAAGTCCTAGCAGCTTTCCTTCCAATAATTGAATAGGAAATTTTAATTTTTAAAATTTTATTTCAGGCATTTTTGTGTTTCTAAACAGCATGCATATTCATTTACGCAGAGTATCTATGTGTGTGTGTGTATGTTTATAAAATAATTCTTGAAATTTGTTCTAAGCAGTATCCTCAAGGTGAAATTTCAGCTGAAAAGTAAGAAGGCGTTATGTTGAGGAAAGCTTTCTTCAATCTTATTTTTCCTTTGTGTGTATTCAGAACTTGTGAATGAAAAGTGCCCTTTTGCTTTTTCTAGAAGGTATTGTCTTCTAACTTCAGTACAAAGAGGAGATTGACATTTTGACTCTCAGTCACCGGTCCTGACCTTTTTCGCCCACAGGGTGAGTGGGGCGGCCTTTCCTTCTCCCACTGCTGCTGAGATGGCGGAAATTAGTCGAATTCAGTATGAAATGGAATACACCGAAGGTATCAGTCAGCGAATGAGAGTCCCAGAAAAATTAAAAGTAGCACCACCAAATGCTGACCTGGAACAGGGATTCCAAGAAGGAGCTCCAAATGCTAGTGTAATAATGCAGGTTCCAGAGAGGATTGTTGTTGCAGGTATTTGACTTTTATATATAAAGCTGGCTGGTACCATGTTTTTCTTCACATGTAACATGTCTACAAAAACACTTTGTACACACATATAGCACACATACAAAACTAATGCAGAAAGGGGTTGCACAATTTGCAAAAAAACAGATAATGCATGTTATTTGTGTAATACAGTAAATCTTTGTTTTATATATTTTTAATGAAATGGCTGGGTTTTTCAAAATGTTATTTAAAAAGAAATTTGGGAAATGTAACTTTACCCTTTCAAAATTTCTGTTTATTTCACTACCCTAATATTTCAGATATTTTTTTGTCATTCAACTAATCTACCAAAAACCAAACCAAACTCAATGCCATCAAGTCAGTTCTGACTCATAGCGACTCCTCCTTGGGTTTCCAAGGCAGTATCTCTACAGAAGTAGATTGCCCAGTCTACCTTCTGAGGACGGGCTGATGGCTTACGCTTGTCAAATGTATATGTTTTCAAGTCTACAGCTTGATAAGTTCTGACAAATGTACTCGCCCTTGTAAATACCACCACAGTCTAGATATAGAACATTTTCATGACTCCAAAAGTTTCCTTGTGTTCCTTCTTAGTCACTCCCCCTTCCCAACTCCAAACAACCATAATCTCTTTTCTAGGATTAGAGGCTAGATTTGTCTGTCCTAGAATTTGATAAAAATAGAATTATACAGTATATATTTGTTTATATAATAACAGAGTGGCAGGTTTCAGGTAGGAATTAGTTAAGAGGAGGGTGCAGAGATTTCCAGCAGCTAAGGGAGACAAACTTGTCTGTCAGTTTGTCATCATGTGAAGCTTGTACATTGCTGTGAGGCTTGAGGCTGTGCCAGTGGTATTTCAGATGCTAGCAGAGTTGCACATGGTGCACAGGTTTCAACGCAGCTTACAAACTAAGACAGACTAGGAAGAAGGAGGAGGCCATCCACTTCTCAAAAATTGGCCAGGGAAATCCTTATGAATAGCAGAGAAACACCATCTGATACATTACTGGGCAACTTAATGAATAGCTTGGAACATTGTCTGACACAGTGCAGGAAGACAAGCCTCTTGGGTCGGACGGAAGGCACTCAATATGGGACTGGGAAAGAGCTGCCTCATCAGAATAGAACCAACCTTAATGATATGGATAAAGTAAGTCTTTCAGGACCTCCATGTGCTGACATGGCACAACTCAAATTGCAAACATCCATAATAATTGGAACATGGAATGTACAAAGTATGAATCTAGGAAAATTGAAAGTTGTCAAAAATGAAATAGAACACATAAAGATTGATATCCTAGGCATTAGTGAGCTGAAATGGACCAGTTTTGGCCATTTTGAATCAGACAACCATATGATCTACTGTGCCAGGAATAACATTGAAAAGGAATGGCATGGCATTCATCATCACAAACAATGTTTCAAGATCTATGCTGAACTATAATGCTGTCACTGATAGGATAATATCCATACACCTGCAAGGAAGACCAATTAATACGACTATTATTCAAATTTATGCATCATCCACAAAAGCAGAAGATGAGGAAATTGAAGATTTTTATCAACTTCTGCAGTCTGAAATTGACCAAACATGCAATCAAGATGGGTTGCTTATTATTGGTGATTGGAATGCAAAAGTTGGAAACAAAGAAGAATCACCGGTAGTTGGAATATTTGGCCTTGGTGACAGAAATAATGCTGGAGATTGCATGATAGAATTTTGCAAGACCAATGACATTCATTGCAAGTACCTTTTTTCAACACAGACAGTGGCTATACACGTGGACTTCACCAGATGGAGTACACAGGAATCAGATTGACTACATCTGTGGCAAGAAGCGATGGAAAAGCTCAATATCTTCAGCCAAAACCAGACCAGGAGCTGACTGTGGAACAGACCATCAACTGCTCATGTGCAAGTTCAGCTTGAAGTTGAAGACAATTAAAACAAGTCCATGAGAGCCAAAATATGATCTTGAATATATCCCTCCTGAATTTAGAGACCATCTAAAGAACAGATTTGATGCATTGAACACCAGTGACCAAAAGCCAAAAGAATTGTGGGGTGACATCAAGAGCATCATCCATGAAGAAAGCAAGAGGTCATTAAAAATACAAGAAAGAAATAAAAGACCAAAATGGATGTCAGAAGAGACTCTGAAACTTGCCCTTGAGCGAAGAGTAGCTAAAGCAAATGGAAGAAATAACAAGATAAAAGAGCTGAACAGAAAATTTCAAAGAGCAGCTCGAGCAGACAAAGCCAATTACTATAATGAAATGTGCAAAGACCTGGAGTTAGAAAACCAGAAAGGAAGAACACATTCAGCATTTCTTGAGCTGAAAGAACTGAGGAAAAAATTTAAGCCTCGAGTTGCAATGTTGAAAGATTATATGGACAAAATATTGAATGATGAAGGAAGCATCAAAAGAAGATGGAATACACAGAGTCACTGTACCAAAAAAAAAAACTGGTCAATGTTCATCCATTTCAGGTGGTGGCATATGTCCAAGAACCAATGGTATTGAGGGAAAAGGTCGAAGCTGTGCTGAGGGAATTGACGAGGAACAAGGCGCCAGGAATTGATGGAATACCCATTGAGATGTTTCAGCATACAGATGTCTTGCTAGAGGCACTCAACTCGGTTATGCCATGAGATTTGGAAGACAGCTACTTGGCCAACTGACTGGAAAAGATTCATATTTGTACCCATTCCAAAGAGTGTGGAAGTTATCCAACAATATCATTAATAACGCATGCAAGTAAAATCTTACTGAAGATAATTCAAAAATAGTTGTGGCAGTATATTGACAGAGAACTTCCAGAGGTGCAGTCTGGATTCAGAAGATGACGTGTAACGAGGAATATAATTGCTGATGTCAGATGGATATTGGCTCAAAGCAAAGAATACCAGAAAGATGTTTGCTTGTGTTTTATGGACTATGCAAAAGCATTTGGTTGTGTGGATCATAATAAATTGTAGATAACATTGAGAAGAATGGGAATTCCAGAACACTTAATTGTACATATGAGGAACCTGTACATAGACCAGGAGACTGTTGTTCAAACAGAAAAAAAGAAACACTGCATGGTTTAAAATCAAGAAGAGAGTGTGTCAGGGCTGTATCCTTTCACCATATTTGTTCAATCTGTATGCTGAGCAAATAATCCGTGAAGCTGGACTATATGAAGAACATGGCATCAGGATTAGAGGAAGAATCATTAACAGCCTGTGATACACTGGCAACATAACTTTGCTTGCTGAAAGTGAGGATGATTTGAAGTGCTTACTGATGAAGATTGAAGAATATAGTCTGCAGTATGGATTACATGTCAATATAAAGAAAACAAAAATCCTCACAGCTGGACCTATAAGCATCATCACAATAAATGGAGATAAGATTGAAGTGGTCAAAGACTTCACGTTGCTTGGTTCTACAATCAACAGCAGTGGAAGCAGTAGTCAGGACATGAGATGTATGTTGTTGTTGTTATGTGCCATCGAGTTGCACCCGACTTATACTGACCCCTCCTTGGGTTTCCAAGGCAGTATCACTACAGAAGTAGATTGTCCCATCTTCCTTCCGAGGAGTGGCTGGTGGGTTTGAACCACCGACCTTCTGGTTAGCAGTCAAGTGCCTTAGGCACTACGCTACCAGAGCTCCTATGAGATGTATAGCACTGGGCAAATTGGCTGCAAAGGACCTCTTTGTGCTGAAGAGCAAAGATGTCTCCTTGAGGACTAAGGTGCACCTGACACAAGCCATGGTATTTTCAATAGCCTCATATGCATGTGAAAGCTGGATAATGAATAAGGAAGATTGAAGAAGATTTGATTTTTTTTTGAGCTGTGGTGCTGGCGAAGAATGCTTAAAGTACCGTGGATTGCTAAAAGAACTAACAGATCTATCCTGGATGAAGTGCAGCCAGAATGCTCCTTGGAGGCAAGAATGGCCAGGCTTCATCTCGCATACTTCGGTCATGTTGTCAGAAGGGACCATTCCCTGGAGAAGGATGCCATGCTTGGTAAGGTGGAAGGTCGACGACAGAGGGCAAGGTCCTCAATGAGGTGGATTGACATGGTGGCAGCAGTGATGGGCTCAAGTACAGCAAGAATCATGGAGCTGGCTCAGGACCGAGCGGTGTTTCATTCTGCTGTGCATAGGGTCACTATGAGTTGGAGACGACTCAGTGGCACTTAACAGCAACAACGTATTTGTTTTGGTTGTCTAGTGCCACTCTAACAGAAAATACCACATATGGGTGGCTTCAGCAGACAGGAATTTGTTCTCTTACAGTTTAGGAGGCTGGAAGTCCAAGTTCAAAGTGCCAGCACTAGGAGCTGGGTGAAGATCCCTTGACCTTGGGCTTTAGCTCTGCCTCTTGCTCCTGGCCCACTGAAGCTGGGAGCTTCTCTTAACTCAAGCAGCTGCTGGCTGCTGAGGTTGACAAACCCAAGGTTGATAAGTAAAATGGCACAGTTCCAAGATTATCAAGCAACATGGCAGACTACTAGTTCAAGTCCGGGAACAGTCCCAAGATTGGTAGACAACATGGCAAGCTACTGAATGAAGACTTGGCTACATGCAAGGTCCATGTGTGCCAAAAAGCTCGAGACCTTCCTCAAAGCTTCTGCTTATATCCTAGAATCAGACCACATCCCTAAGGCAGCTACTCAGCTGCTCCAGAGATTCCACCATGGAGCTGATTACCAGTCTCATCATGGGGAATCACTCCATCCAGCTGCCCAGCCAAGTTGACACACAACTTAACTACTACAGTATTTTTTTGTCTGGTTTCTTTGCTCAGTGTAAGTTTTGAGATTCTTCCATTTGGTTGCATTATTCACTCTTTCTTACTACTGCATAACACTCCATTGTGTAGATACATTCAGTTTGTTTATCCATTCACTAACGGATGGGCACTTGGGTAGTTTCCTGTTTGGGGCCATGAGGTATAAAATTGCTGTGAAGATTGACATACAAGTCTCTGTGAGGACATATGTGTTCATATCTCTAGGAGTGAAATTGCTGGACCATATTGTAAATTATGTTTAACTTTACGAGAAGCTGCCAAGATATTTTCCAAATTGGTTGTACCATATTGCATTCCCGTCAGTGATTATGAACGTTCCAGTTTCTGCCAGTACTTGGCAATGTCAGTCTTCATAATCTGAGCCATTTGAGGGGTGTATGTTCTTTGTGAAATATCTATTCA